ATCTATCTATCTATCTATCTATCTATCTATCTATCTATCTATCTATCATCTCTCTATCTAGATAAGGTTTCTCTGTGTAGTCCTATCTGTCCTGGAACTCACTCTGTAGACCAGGTTGGCCTTCAAGTTCTGCCTCCCGAGTGCTGGGATTAAAGGTGTGTGCCACCACCACCCAGCCCATCTAGTTCCTTAAAACCCTTTGGTCCTCAGTGGACATGGCCAAAATGCAATTTCTGGGCCTCCAAAAGGTGCAGTTGGCATCCTCCCTGCCACATGCTCTTTCTCATTCTCAGTCATGAACACTGGACTGAAGGGAAGTGGCTAGGTGATGGAAATCACCTTCAGTTCCGGTCACCTGGGGAACAGCTAGGGGAATGGGAAGCAGCTGTGGCGGGGAAGAGCAGGCTTTCTCAGCTTCTGTCTCCTCCAGGTGTCAGAGTCCTGACCTACCTTGTGAATCCAACCCTTGCTTGAATGGGGGCACCTGCCGGGCAGCCAGTGGCATATTTGAATGTACTTGCAATGCAGGATTCTCTGGCCAGTTCTGTGAAGTGGTGGTGAGTGGTACCCAGGGGTGGGCTGCCGGGCTTTGGACCTTAGCAAGAGGACAATGGACAGGAAAGGTAATGATCCTTGTGAAGTTGGCACTGGACGAGCTTTGCTGACGGTTGGGGGAGGACACTCGGGCCCCTTCTAGGACCCTATGTAGAAAGTATTTTCATTTCAGAAAGATCTTGGGGAGCCCACCAGCCATCAAGCAGAGTCTGGAACTTTACCCTGGTAACCAGGGTAGTGGCAGTGGGGTCAGGTTGGGATCTTCCAAGTCTACTCTGGGACTGGATTCCAAGCTCTCAAGGATCATGGGGCCTGTAATCTCCTTGGGTTCCAGAGCAGTTTCTGAAGCAGATCAGACTCAGGCATGCAGGTCTCCCTGCCCCAAGGAGGCTCAGCTGACAGATGTCTGGGCACCCACGGTGGGTGCTGATATAGGCTCTTCTAGAAGGGCAGTCTGGAGAGTCTTGATCCCTGTAGTTCCTGGCAGAGCCCCTTTTGCTTCTGTGAAGTGTTACAGGCTTTGCTTCCTCGCCTACCCACTACATACCCCCACCCCACCCCCAGGGAAGGAAATGGCTTTACAGCTCCTACTGAAGTGCTGGAGAGGGGGAGGTGTGAACTTTATAGTTTTGGGGCCCCATTCTCCAGGCCTGAATGCTGGGGATGGGGATGCAAATGAGACAATAGACTGAGAAGCCTCAAGATGCAGGGGAGACCAGGGAGTCTGGATTGCAGGGGTTCTGATTCCAGGGCTGAGGAGTCTAGGCACACGGAATCTTTAATGGGTCAACATGGGAGTCTATGACTGGAGATGGGGAAATGCTGCCCTCACCCCCAAACCAGGCTCAACTCTGCCAGGGACAGGCTGTCAGCAACCCCTTGCAAGCAGGCAGGCCACAGGGAATTCTGTCTGTTCTTGTCACTAGTGGGCTCAGTTCGTCCTAGGAGCTTTGTGCTCCTGTTTTACTTCAGCTGACTGTTGCTGATTCTGTGACTCAGCAACAGGCACTCCAGGAATGTCTACTGTCTGCCCTCCTAGCCAGGGCTTTGCAGCATGCCCCTAGCATTGGCTTGGACAGGTAGCTTCCTGGCTTCCTGCCTGCACACCCTAGGGGCTGCCTCTCTCACCCACTCTGGGAAGCTTACCTCTCTGTCTCCCATCTCTTTCAGAAAAGCCTGCCTCTGCCCCTGCCATTCCCACTGCTGGAGGTAGCAGTGCCTGCAGCCTGTGCCTGCCTCCTCCTCCTCCTCCTGGGCCTTCTTTCAGGGATCCTGGCTGCCAGAAAGCGCCGCCAGTCTGAGGGCACTTACAGCCCAAGTCAGCAGGAGGTGGCAGGGGCCCGTCTGGAGATGGACAGTGTCTTCAAGGTGCCACCAGAGGAAAGACTTATCTAGGCTGGCCCGGCTGCTGGTGCCATTCCCTGACGGTCTTACAGGATCACTGCAGAACTTCTACTTGGAGCCCAAGGAGACTATTTCCAGAGCTAGGACATCCACAGGATGTGCCCCCATGGTTGGCAACCTTTCCCCTGTTCATTGTGGACTCAGAAAATGGGGAACAACTCAGGGAAGCAGAGGAGGGTATGGGAATATGTCTCTGATCTGCTGGGCTGTACATAGGAGAGCATGACTGACAGGTGTGTGTATGTGTGTATGTGTGTATTTTTCTGTCTGTCTGGGGGCAAGGAGGGGAGAGAGAGAGGGAGAGAGAGAGAGAGTATGTACGTGGGATATGTGGGTCTGTAGGTTGTAGTGTAGTGCCAGGGCTTGTGGGAATGCCCTATGTGTCTACATGACTGTGGTGGGGCAAGGGATTTCACAGGGGGAAGTGGCTGCTTCATGTCTGGGGACGACTTGGATGCCTCTGAGACAGAAGCCCAAGGCTGCATACACTCTTTAACACTGGGCAGGCCAGAACTTGCCCAAGTAGACTTTGGTCCTGACATCTTGTTCAACCTCCAATGACAGCCCTTGTTCCAGAGAAGCTGGGAAATGAGGGATTCCTGGCTTCCAGAACAAAAAAGCCCTTTTGGGTAGATCTGACTGACAGTGCTGTGGCCAATACCCCCATGTCTGTAGGGCAGGCTTGCAGGAACCAAGAAACCAAGGATCCTGGGCTGTTCTGCCTGCAGTGGGCATCTGCAGGCGTGCCGCAACCTCTCTGCCTACCTCACAGGTTGTCCTGAGGATCCGAGGGACAAACAGGCAGAAAGTCCAGAAGCTGTTAAACTCCATCTGATGGAAAGGAGTGGCTGGAAAGCGTCTCACCTGCCTACAGTTGAGGGGCTCCCTGGGACACTGGCAAGGCAGCAGAAGAATGGAGGTGCTGTTCTCTGTCCCTGCAGTTCTGCAGCGCCATCGTCTGTGTATGGCTGTGGAAAGCATGCCAACAAAGGCCTCGGTTGTGTGCCCAGTGCTCGGCAGGTGGACATCAGCAGCTACTGCACTGACCTCAGGCTGCAGAATTACATCTCATGGAGACACACTCAAGTGCATTTGACCTCTGACCCCACCCCCGAAGGGCACTGGCTGCAGGTCTAGTTTCCTTTGAACTTCCCAGAGCCCTTTGACTTGGAGATGTGACTTTCACACAGGAAGTTGCAGGTCTCAAGGTTGCAGTCACCTCCAGAAGGCACAGACTTGGGGACACTGGGGGCTCAGTGTTTTGAGACCCTGGATGCTAAGCGGCCTGCTTGGTCCTCATCCTTTAGTGGTGGGACCAACTTGCCCCTGGCTGTCTGTGTCCCTTGGGAGAGGGGAGAGGAAATGGGTCCTGGGCAAACTGCTCAGTTGCCAGCTCCTAAGATGTTTCCTATGGATCGCCAACAAGGAAACATTCCCTTCACTTCATTGTCGCCAGGGTGGGCTACACAAGGACCTCTTGGGGGCTAGAGGCTGCTCTTGCTGAGATCTGGGGAAGGGGTGGAACTTATTCCTTCCTGTCATCCTGCCCACCTGCCCATGCTCAGTTCTCTCCCTGAGAGGGAAGAGGCAGGTGGCTTGGAGCCCCAAGTGGGCATGGGCTGGGAAAGATGCCCAGGGCTTCCTTTCCTTGAAGGACTCAGGACCACAACCTTCCCAAGATTTTATTGAAGGCACAGTTCATCACTAGGTTCGCAAATGCTACCCAGTGAATAGATTAAGTAAATATGTGTACCAGCCCCCAGCGGACCATAGGTGTGTGCTGCTACCCAGGCTGTCTGACACCTTGTCATCCTGCTGGCCCACTGGGTTAGGACAGTGCCTCATCTTGGATGGGACCTGGAAATTGCTGGGATGGAAGTGTTACTGAGACCTGTTTAGGAACACAAATGCCAGGAGAGACTCAGTTCCCTAGCAGCTAAGACCCCCACCCCAGACAGGGCCCTGGGGACCCCCAATGACCCCACCTCCTTGTTCCCATCAGAAACCCTGGAGTGGGTAGGCTGATCATTCACACACAGGAAATGAAAAATCAGGTCAAATGTACACAATTTCCTGTATGTCCCTGATGTCTTCTTAAATGGTTAGGCTGTGTTTTACCTTGATTTATTGAAAGGAATCAATTTTCAAGATTCATCAAAATCAACAAGGTACGAAGGAAAAGCAAGATCAAAGAAACAATAACAAAACATTTCATAACTTTGGTGACTTGGCCTCAGGAATTTCTGCGCTGGCGAGAAGCTGGAGACTGGGAAGGGCTGGCTTCCAGGCCCCCACTTGTCTCAGGCTTAGAGGTCACATTTATTTACTTCATGGGGAATCTGGGGGGCCCTCAAGCCCCAACTGGTCCTGACCTAGGAGCTCAAACAGCTGAGCCTCTCCCTTTGTCTGTGGCAGGAGGCTTTGTCCTTGAGTTGGAATCTGGGTCACTGTGGCCCAGCTCTGCCTATAGCGCTCCAAGTGGCAGGAGGCTGAGCCTGAGCTATGATTGACATGCCCAGAGGTATGAGGGTGGCAGAGGGCTAACACTCAGATTTGTGGGTTTCTCCTATAAGCAGGAGTTGCTGGTGTTCCCAAACCCTAAAAGGGCTAGCTGGAGCTGGGTTTGGAGCTCAGGTCCCCAGACCGCTGGCCTCCAGGAACAACTCAGGTTTGGTGGTTAGGAAAGAGTATATTGCTAGAGATGTTTGGAGTTGCCCACCAAAGGGAAATGTCATCCCAGGAGTGGCCACTTTAGCCCCTCAAACACCTGCGTCCCCAAAGATGTGTTCACACGGGTGTTACTGACATGTGCCCTGTGGGGCGGGGCCTGGTAAAGGAGAACTGGGCCTGAGAGAGGGCTTGAGCTTCTTGCCTACTCTTGGGTAACTGGAAGGAAGGCGGTGGGATATGGTTGGCCCAGCTGACCTCTACTGCAAACCCTACATAGGGTGCTGAGGTGGGGGGCAGGTGGCTCTTGTGGGATGGTACCATTTCCAGGGTCAGGTCTCAGAGATGGGCTGTGAAGGAGAGGGGGCAGCGAGAGTCCTTTTGCCCCAGTGGAACCTGGTCAGAAATGGGACACAGGGAGGCACGGCACTGGACGGTGGCATAGGCCTGCTCACTCGAAGGTCTCCCACTGCCTGCGGAGCTGCTCCACAGAGGTGGAGGCTGGGGCTGGGCTCGGGCTCACATCTTGCTTGGTTTTTCGTAGCAAATCCTCAAAGGGGTCTCTGGCCTGTGCAGGAGCAGAAGGCTGTAGGACTGGTTCTAGACCCTGGGGGGGTCTGGTAGGGAGCAGAGGGGGTTCACCAGGCCTCAGGGCCAACCCCTGCTTGGCCTCAGCAGCTCTGGCACTTGAGCGGGCCAGAGGCAACGTTCGGATCCTGGAGGGGGCAACAGCTGGGGGGCCAAGTGGCTGTAGGGGACTAGGGTGGGCACCCATGGGGATCTGGCCAAAGAGATTGGGCATGGAGAGGGCAGATAGGTTGGGCTGCGACCTGTGAGGGCCATAAAAGCCAGAACCAGACAATAAGATGCTAGGTGTATATGCTGGCCCCAGGGACGCTGGAGGTGTCCCAAAATGCCTGGCTGGTATAGTAGAGCCCAGGGACATAGTGGGTGGAGCTACTGGCAGAGATGGGACAAAGGGATTGAGTGGTGGCTGTGCAAAAGAGGTGGGTGTCACTGTGAGAGGAAAGTTGAGCTGGGGGGTAAATGAGGCAGCCGCACTAGGGGTGGCAGGATGTGGTGGGATGGTGTTAGCTGACCAGGCTGTGTTAAGTGGGTCCAGAAGGGCAAGCAGGGCATCACTGCCTGTGCCTGCAGCTCCTGGGGCTGGGCTGAGTGGCTGCAGAAGTTCTATGGGGCCTTGGGGGACAGCACTGGGGAGCAGCCCTGGCAATAGGGCTGGGCTCAGGGCAGCTTGTCTTTGCTGGTCCATCTGGAGCTGCTCTGAAGAGGAGTCACCAAGTGGGCCGCCAGCAGCCTGGAGCTTGGCTGGGCGGGCAGCGGGTGGTGGAGGCACGATGCCCAGCTCAGGGGTCTTTCTGCCTTGTGGTCGGGGAATGGTGATGCTGCCTGGAGTTTGGGTGGGAGCCTCTTCCTTAGTGCTGGGGTTCAGGATGCCGTCCTGCTTCTGGGGTCTGTGAGGCAGAGCTGGGGAAGTACCAAACAGGGCTGAGGGCTTCTCAGGGGAGGTGGTGGAGGGCTTGCTGGGGATGGCCATGTCGTCCTGACCCAGACTCCAGAGCTTTGTATATGGATGAGTAAGCTTCAAGGCTGCGGCCATGCTAAGGCCCCTCTCACTTCTGCACAGGTCCAGCCTCTGTGGGGAAGGAGGGAGGGATGATGACCACAGGCTGGCCCAGGCAACAGTAGAAAGTCCATCCATCCCCAACCCTTCCTGCATGCTAGACATGTGGCTCCTGGGATGGGGAGGAGTTGCAGGGACCCAGGCCTATCTGGATTCCAAGTCCAAGCCTGACCCACAAGCGGAATCCAGAGGAACCTCTGCTCTTTTGACAAAAGCCTATGCTTGTCAAACAGTTTTAGGAAAATATCTCCATCTGTGGGCCACCTAACAATGGTTTGGGCATTTTTGCTGTTTAGAGATTGTGGTAATTTTGATGACCCTCAAAAGGGCAAGTGTGGCTCCAGGCCTGGTTAAAGGTATATGGACCAGAGGAAAGAAGCCTGGGTTTGAGTCCTGACTTTGCCTCTACTACTTGACCTAGACACTTCTCTGGACTTGAGCTGCTTCATTCCCAGCAGGTGGGATAATCCAAATCCCAGAGGGGACTGATAGTCACACTGGGAGAGCCAATCCACAATCCTTTTTGATCCAAGGAGCCCTGCAGCAGCCCACACTCTGAGATGAGAACAGAGGCAGGCAGACACTCCCTGCTGTGCTAGCACCCCCCCCCCCCCCACCATGACAGCTGGTAGCATGATGTGCTTGCTGCTTGCGATGGGGCAGGGTTGGTGGGGAGTAGGGGTGCTGGAGTGGTGTCTCCCTGATCTCTTCCACTCCACTGTGACTTGGAGGACCTACCTCATGAGCACGAGGCACCCATAGGCATACCTGGTAGTCAAAGCTCCCTGGCTGTTCCTGCAAGTCTTTGGGGGCCCGGAGGTCCTCCAAGCTCTTGGCTTGGCCCAGTGGCTGCAGTGCTGCCTCCATGTCTAGGCTGCTGAAGACATCTTCTAGAAGGTCAATGCTGGCAGCTCGGTCAGGTGGGGCAGGGATAGGCCCCCGGAGCTCCCGCACTAGCTGCTCTGGGCTCTCGGTTTCATCGCCTTCTGCGCTGTCCGATTCTTTCAATGTCCGGTATGGCTGTGGCCTGGGAGGAGACAAAGCCAGCTGGATTTTCCTTCAGAGCATCTATGGGAGCAGCAAATGACCCTAGCCCTTGAGAATGCCCAGGCCCTAGGATCAATGTTTGGCAGTTCTTTTGGGGTTGGATTAGGTCTTCAGCATGCTTGGTGCTCTGGGCAGGATGCTGTGGCTCTCACTTGCTCTGAGGAGACCCTGAAGTGCTCCAGAGCCCAAAGTCTTTGTATGTAACACATTCAAACCCGGCAGGACTGGAGGCGAGGCGGCATTGCAGGCGGGCACATGCAATTCTTTGTCCCATCTGCTTCCAACCTTAGCCTCAGAGGCTCAGGTCCAGAGCATTCATGGCTGTTCAGAAGCCCTGGTTCCATCTCTGCCATAGGAACCTGGGTGAGTCACCTGACCTTGTGAATCTTAGCCCTGTTGGTGTGGTTTCATGAACAAGAACACATGGTACGCAGAGGTTGGCGACAACCACCTATGGCATGCATGGTTGTGTGTTCTGTGTATCCACACATCACCTTTCTGGTGAGTTGGGTGTAAGCCACAGGTGGTTACTTTTGTTATTTTCATTGAGCCTCGGGCACCATTGATCTGTGAGAAGGCAGCACCTGCTCTGACCTCTAGTAGGGGCTGGCCAGTGCGGTGCCCTGCTTCTAGGGTCAGGCTGGCTGTGCACAGGGTGCTGGTGAAGTGGGTGGAGGGCTCCACCTGCTGGTCATAAGGAGGTTGACAACAAAGACCCACTGAAAGAAGGGCGGCATCCATCAAACTGCAGTCTGGGACTTCCGCACCACCTTACAGATGAGGAAATTGAGGCTCAGGTTAAGTTTAGCAACTCACCCTGTGCTTCACAGCACCCAGCGAGGGCTGACAGTCTCCAGAGTCCTTGTCTCACTCTGACCAAGGAACTAAGAGCCTTTGGAAGGGGTATGGAATCCTCCTTCCTAAACACAGGGACACAGCTGTTTATAACCCTTTATGTTGTGAATTAGGATGGAATGGCTCCCCTTTAAACACACTGGTCTGAACTGGCTCTAGGCCCAGGCTAAAGAAGGGGCTTTTAAGCACTGATGAAATAAGGAAACGCGCAGGGCTGTCTGTGTCCTGGAGGTAGAGAGCCATACTTGTCCAGTATGTGAGGAGCTGGGTTACATTCCAGCACCATCAAAGAGGGAAGGGTCAGTCACCAGGGGAGCCTCAGCAGCTGCCTTGTCACTCAGATGAGTGTTCTTTCAGTAGCTCTCTGTTCTAACTAGCAAAAGAGACATCAGGGGACACATCAGATCTGTGATCGCACAGACATTACTGTGCAGAAAAGCCAATTCTTCAAACATTTAAAAGAAAAAATGAATATACTGAAAAGGTATATGGACTATGGGGGACACTGTCACCGTCCCAGTGATCTAGCATTAGGAAAGAACAGCGGTGGGGAGTGAGAGAAGGGGCTTTGGACTCAGAAGGTCCAGGATGAAGCCACGGGGAGAGGACCTAATGCTGGGCACTTGAGGTTAGGGAACAGAGGTGGGAGGGGTTGGGGGTGGAGAGACACCCAATGTGAAGGAGCCAGCCACTAGCACTCTGATAGGTTGTAGGCTCATCCGTGAGGCTCTTGGGAAGAACATTTGTATGTAAGGTGAACCTTGTCTTCCTTTAAAAAAATTGTTGTTTGTAACTTGTATGCAGCTTAGGCTATAACATAACTAAGATAAAATTAATCTTAAGAAACGTAAACACATACACATGTACATACATACACACATGCGCACACACACACACACACACTTTTTTTTTCTGAGACAGAGTCTTGTATATAGCCTGGAACTTGCTATGCAGCCCAGGCTAGCCTCAAACTGATAGTCCATCTATCTACCTTAGCCCCACAAGTTCTGAGACTGCGGTGTACATCACCACACATGGCTGATATGCTGCTATTCCCACATGTTTCCTCTAACCCAAACTGGCTTTTCCCTTACATTTGCCTTCCTGTCTCTGTGGCTTTCTAATGTACACTGAGAAACAGGAGATCTGTAGTCATGTTTACTGTGGCTACCAGCTCCATTAAACAAGCCATTTTCCCCTTGTAAGGAGAGGGGGTTGATGCCTCTGCCTTACCTGTCACGTTTGTTGTTACAGCCTTGTGGGGCTGGCACAATAGGAGCATGAGACAAGGCCTGTAGATATGGCATACCCCCTGCAAGTGGGCACCTAGGAACTTTTCTCCCCAAGGTAACAAAGCAGTCCCAATCCCCCATGCTCCCCCCTGCACCCAAAGAGTCACCAGGCTGAACCCAAGGAGCTGGGAGAAGGAAGAGACCATTCAAAAGGAGCAGAGAAGAAAAGGTTTTCAGTGAAGCTGGTGCTCGGGGCCTCTTCCCGTCGGCATTCCTCATCAGAGGAGTCTTCAGAGAGAAAAACAGCATAGTGTCGGAAGGGCTTTACCAGGCTGGACAGAGAGAAGAGAAGAGGCAGTTAGGGCCCCATGAGAGCACAGGGTAGGAAGAAGGCCCAAGGCACCCACTGGACTGGCTCCAAGTGGAGAGGAAGCTGGGTTTGCCATGTGTGTCAAGGGCCTGGAACTCTCATCCAGGCACGTCTGACTTGATTGCCCATTTCCAGTAGGTTAACTCTAAACGAGCAATCATGCCCAGAGATGCTGACTGCTCTCTGCTTAAAGTACTAAAACACTTCCAGCAAGCAGAACAGGTACTGCTGGCTGAACACTCCCTTCCCATCACATGTAATGCCAATGAAGAGAATTTTAAACCAAGACATAGTTGTTATTTTTATGATTGGCCCCCCCCCAAACCTGTAGGCTCCATCTCTATAGATTTCATTAGCTCTAAGTTGAAAATGTTTGGGTGGTGGCTGACATCTTTAATCCCAGCACTCGGGAGGCAGAGGAGGCGGAACTCTGTGAGTTCGAGGCCAGCCTGGTCTACAGAGCGAGTTCCATGACAGCCAAGGCTATACACAAAAAAGCTGTCTTTGAGGGGAACAAAAAAAAAAAAAAAAAAGGAAAAAGTGCATCTGTACTGAACATGTGCAGTCTGTTTCTACTGTTAGGTTATTCCCCTAATACAGCTCTCCAGCTAGCTACATAGCAGGAAAACTAGATTAGCTATAAAAGTAACCTAGAGGTGGGCTGAAGTATATAGGAGGGTGTGTAGGGGTCTTTGCAAACACCACACCGTTTCAATGGGCATGAACACCCAGTTTTTAGCATCAGTTCTCTGAGGATATTGCAGCCCTCTCATCTGCACTAGAGAAAAACTGGAAAAGAAGTGCTTAAGTTTCAGTAATGGCAGGTGGGACTGTGGGTGGCCTCACCTCCTGCCTCTTTTTCTCTCTCTATAGCATGCATATCTCTACTTTAATAACAGGGAAAGATTAAGGAAAAAACAAGTTGTGTGGAAGCCAGCCCTGGACAGACCCACTTCTGATTAGCTGCCCACTCTAGAGTCTCCCTCCCATGCTTCTTCAGAGAATCTCTTTCATCTGTGATGTGGAAATTAAATATTCATTGTTATAAAAAATATATCTCCCTTGCCAGCTACCTGTGCTCTAGCTCTATAAACAAACACACACAGCCAAAGGAGTTCACACCTGGCTCCTAGCAATTATGTACAGACCAGCAGTGCCCACGAGAGGCCAAAGGTTCAGGAAAAAGAGAGCCCAAACTGTGGCAGATTCAAATCCTGGCCCCACCATGACTGCCATGGCCCCTAATCCTGCCCTGTCAGTGGCTGGGCTCATTGTGAAGAACCCTAAGAGGTGACAGCGAAGGTTTGGGGAGACAGAGGAGACAGGTATCAGGAGGGCAACACATTTGAAACAAGTTCACGAAGGCCTGAACAGGAGGTTGGGGGAGGGCCCTGGGGTGGCCAGTGTTGTCATCTCCATTGCTAGAGCTCCCAGGGCACCCACAGCTCCAGCACTTGCAGCTGTGTGCCCTCACTTTCTTCCTAGTTCCTGAGGCCAGCCATTAGTCTCATTCCCAAACTTCAGAGGAGATTGTGGCTTCCTGGGGAAGCTACTAGCCCCGGGTCATGCACCAAGAGGTGGCAGGGCGACAGGGTTCTGCTGGCCTCCACTCCCAGGCTGCCTGGATACCTAGGATGAGACACCTCAGCTCTTCCACAACTGGAGAAAGATTGGCTGTGGAAACATGCTGGTGACAGGATGCTTTGGATGAAGAAACATGTCTCACCTGACCTGACACAAGACTACGTTTCTGTTCCTTTCATAACCAATGAGGTTGAGTAGAAGGGACAGATTAATCCACTGCAAAAGGGTGGGGAGAAATACTCAGATGCTGGGGTAACCTGCTCACTCTAGCACGGGGCTGGCATCGGGCAGCAAGGCCAGCATTTCACTCCACTCTGGGCAGCTTGAGGTGCATGCTGGGAATGGGTGGGTTGCAGGATCAAGCCCTGAGGTTCCTTCCCATCCACTACCGCACTTCAGTTGGAGAACTATCTCCGAACAGGCATCCTGTCACTTAGCTTTTGTGTCTGTCTATCTCCAGCACACTAACTGCTCTTCCATTTTGAAGTCCTGACCCAAATGTTATCCTTAGGATGTCTCTAAATTTCAGCCCAAATGATGTTACCAGGAGTTCCCAGCTCTTCCTGGCTGTGGGTCTTGGTGCATCATAGATCCCAGTTAATCTGCAATTCTGTTCCTGACTGAGGCCAGGGGTCTGACCACTGCTGCTATTCACCCACATTAGTAGTTGAAGGGATGAGAGCTTAGCATGCTGGGGATCCCCACAGCCCTTCTCTCAGAGCACCTAATACTTCACACAGATTGTTTCATTGCTTTAGAGCTCTGGTAGGCGTGCTCCTTCTTTGGATTCCCTACCTGCCCTCTGAGAGTATATAAGACCCAGGGCGGAAACCTTAAGACAGGGTTCAGGTTAAGAGCACAGGCGTGGAGGGCCCTTGGTGTGGGCAGTGCTATGATCCACTCTAAGCACAGCAACCTAACATGCAGAACCAGCACACAAACTCTATAGTCCATCTGTCTAGCCATCTCCCCATTTGTCTGAGCACCTGTCTACCCAAGGACCACTTCCTGCCTGTACATAAGCAAACCTAGTGCTGGACAGGCACTGGGGTCAGGCACTGGGGCCTGCTGATGCTGGACACAGAAATGAGCAAATAAGCACACCAGGAGCACCTCAGGGGATGTAGCTGAGGGCTGCCCTGAGGGTCACAGCACTAACTGTGGACAGACACAAGAGAACATAAATTCCCACCTGGGTCACAGAGAACTAAGTGCTTGGTGACCCTCAGATGCACTGTGAATGCCTTCTGACAGTCACAGAAAGCACGGGCTTCTTCCCTGGCACAGTTCACACGGTGACTGACTGCCACTACGTCTGTCACACCCACGCAGAGCGAGTGCCTTTGTGCTGGACAGGACTCTGGTGTCATTAAAGTCCTGCAAGCAGGGATCTGACACCCAGAGCTCCCTACATGCCATAAATGCAGCCAGCTTCATGCAGCCAGCTCTGTCGGCCAGGCCAGGCTCAGGTGTTCATTGCATAGCACTGCTTCTTGAGTGACTGGGTTGAAATGAGCCATGTGATTTGGTCAGCCAGAGCTTTGTCACGTCTAGGACGCATGGATGGTGAAAACTCATCAAAAAACTCATACGCTGTCCTGTACAGTTTCTCACTAACTCTTCATGACAAAGAAGTCAAAGCTCAGAGAGGGAATCTCTTGGCTGGGGTCACACAGCAGCTGAAGCTGTATGAAGTTGGAATGGAAACTGCAGGGTTCTGCCACCTGTTTCCTGGAACTGAAACAATGAATTGAGAGGCAAGGGTTCCCCTTCCACTTTTAATGAAAGGTGAGGTTTCAAAACAAACTTATTTAAATTCAGCTGCTCATGCTCTCCCATGAAAGATACAGTCAGATATTTGTCAAGGATAAAGGATAAACTATTGAAAACGTCCAGGTTTAAATTTTTTATTAGCTAAAGGCAGAATATAAAAAAAGTACCTCTTCCCTCATTAACCCAGTTCAGCTACTATCCTGCAGTCTGCCCCCCACCATTTGCCTGGATTTTATTACATACAAAGGGGCTGTCTGGGAAAAGGCAGGCCTTGCTGAACTTGGCTAGCCAGCAAAGACTGTGATGTCACGGCATGAGAGAAAGGCTCTGTCCATCACGGCTTGGACCTACCTATAATCCCCCTGCTGCCCCTGCCTCGTCCACTACCCTGCAGCTGAGTTCCCATGTGGATGACTCCTGAGCCCTTTCTAATGTTTGGTTTAACGTGTCGCTGGTTAGTGCGCGTGTATGACAGTGGTGACAGGCAAGGCTGTTCCTTTTTAAATACCATGTCAGAGACATGGCATCAGGAGGCCGGTGTGTGCTCTGGGCTCTCTGCTGCTCCAGGATCGCACTGACTTATGTTTTAATGAGGAATATCTACATCTTGAGTTTTTTTTATGTGTCACATCGTATGGATAAATCAGCCGTGCGTCACGCTGGCCCAGAATGAAGTGCTGACAAATGTAGATGTTTCCAATTTAATTGACATTTAAATGCACTTGAGATAAAGATGGGAGGAAATCAGCCAGGCCTTGGTCTCCCGAGGTAATGAAGGACACCGTGATCATTTTAGAAGAAGCCTTTCACTCCAGCACAAAGGGTCTTCACTTTGTAAATAGCCTGGCAACTTTGGTCCCTTGCTGACACAGCCCTGGTGGGGTAACATGTTTAGAAAGGCATTGAGAAGGCCAGCCTGTGCACTTTCTGCCTCCTTTCCTTTTCTTTCCAGACACCTTGGCAAAGTCACTTTATCTTCTTGGACCTTGAGCTCTCTGCAAATGGAGATGCTGCTGCCTTCCTGAAGGTTTGAGCAGAGAAATGAAATAGTCAGTCACCAAGGGATTTGCGCCGTGCCTAGCAAATCCTGAACCCTCAGGTGCTTTCAATGCCCTTCATAGACTGGTGCCAGGCACCTGTACCCTCAGTCGGGGCTGAAGAGGTGGTCGCTACCTTCCATGTGAGTGCTTCTCTGTTGGCTGTATGTCAGCACACGGTGTCATCCAGCTAGCTCTACTTAGAGTCCCCACATCTTTTCAACCCCAAGATCCAGGGCCAGGCTCTGACCATAGGCTTGACAGTGGCTGAAACAAGCAGAAGGGGTTCTGCAAGCAAGGTGGGGTATCTCTGCGAGGTGGCCCGGAGATGCTCCCAAGAGTTAGAGTAAGGGCTGTTGTGCTGAGGGAGTTCCTGAAGGCTGACAAAGGAACTAGCTGCACAGTTATCTGCTGAAGAAGAAGTCACTGCCACCCCCAACTGCCATCAGAACAAGGGTTGTCTGCTGTCAGAGATGGTTCCTGCTGTTCCACTCCCTTGGAGACTGGCTCTACCAGGAGATAGTGGGGTTCAGGGATACCCTTAGCTCACAGGCTCTTGGCTGAGGCT